GGGGACCCCTGCCCCTGGCTCACTGGGGACGGCCAGGTGTTCCCTCCGCGGCTCCCAGCGCGCTCTCGCCGCCCAGGCACTCCAAGGACTGGGGCGACCCTTGGTGGCCGTTGGCTTAAAGCACTGTTTGCAGACGAGGGAAACTGAGGCTACGACAGGGACAGGAAATCCCTGCCCCTCACCTCAGTCAGGCGCTGCAGCTGTCGCCTCCCCGCAGCAAGAAGCTGAGGTCGAGAGGCCGCGCGGGACAGAGTCCGGGGGCAGGGGAGGTCACGGGGGGGGGGACGCCTGGAACTCCCGCAGCTGGTGACACGGCCCAGGCTGGAAGATCACAGTTAGTAGGGGAGTGGGGTCTAAGTGACCAGTCGCAGCGGAGAAAACTTCGTCCGGGTGTCTGACTGAGAGGCGCCACCCATGCAGCCGGGGTCCCCCTGCTCCCCTAACCGCGGAGGCCGGGGTGGCGGGACCGTGAAGGTCAAACTACCCAGAGAGAACAATGCGTCTCCTGGGGTCTGGAGCGCTTAAGGCGCGGGCACGCAGAGGCTGGGCTGGGGAGAAGCCGGAGACCTTTTCCGAGATCCTGACCAGACCCAAGCCTCAGTCTCCCCAGCTCACCTCTGGGGTGGCTCGCAAATTTGAGATGTGGGCAGCTATCTGTGTCTTGCTTTGTCCTCTCAATGTTGTTCCTCCACCCCATCCACCCTCGTAGCCCCTCCCTCCAAGCCCCACCCCTGAGCACCCACCCACCCACCTTCTGCCACGGTCTGAGGCAGGGGGATTTCTTCCTGGGAGCTCGGAGATCTATAAGAGCCTCCATCATGTTTCGTTGTTGTTATTTTGGCTTTTGTATTTTTTTTTCCTCCCGTTTTCTTCCATATGTTCTAAAAAATAGCCGTTCCCCTCTCGCGGGTCCCCCAGCCCCGCAGCATGTCGTGAGCTGCGCCGCGCTCCCGCGGTGGCCGGGGATTCCTCGAACGGGCGGGGCTGCGCCGACGACACGCGCGCGCGGGCTGTGAGCGCTCCTCCCACCGCGGAGCCGCGGGAAGAAAGGGGCAGAGAAGACAGAAAGGAGGACTTCGCAGAGCTCGCCGGGGGCCGCAAGCACACGGCTCAGCCGGACACCTCCCCGTGCGCTGTGCCCATTGCAGAAAGTCGGGAAGCGATGGGGACAAAGACTCCCATTGTTGTGTGTGTGTGGGGGGGCTGAACCTTAGTGGAGTCCCCGAGCTGCGGTTCGCGACTTCCTACAATTCCTGCTTCATGACACACCTTGATGGCCCGTTGACAGGTCACAATCCTGTCCCGCACACATTCCTCTCTCCCCGAAGACCAACCTGAGTTCTGCCGGGTCCCATTGTCTTTCCCAGACCCCCTAGGTTGCCCCGACCAACTCCAGCGTCCCTCGGAACCCATCCAGCCTCGGGAACCATAGCATTTGGATCTTTTGCCAGCTCCGTCCAGTGACAACTGCTCCCACCCCTCTCCCACAGCCTCAAGGTGACCGGTCCCTACCGGCGTCCGTACTGGCCACCACGCAAGGGTTTCATGTCCCCGAGGCTCTCTATTCCCGGCATATCAATCCTCCTGTCCCAGGAGAAAAGAGGAGCCCAAGGCCACTTGGGAGGCGGGAGCTGCATCTGGGGCGACCCAGCCTCAAAGAAGGAAGGTTGTGCAGAGACGCCTGGGAAGGGTCTTTGGACCCAGCCTAAACGGTCCTTCGTGCTTTCTGCAGGACGTCCCTGAAACTTCAGTAACACTGTGGGTTGCTCCTCCGCTGTGAACCGAGGTCCCAAGGACGGAAGGCAATGAGTGTTCAGGGTGTCGCTGGGGCCCGACCCTCCTTGCGGTTCACTTTCCCCATTGCCTCATTGGTCACACTTGCCCCACAAAGGAGGGGTGAGAGGAAGGGAGCTTTCTGTTGATGACAAAGGCACAAGGAAAGCGTGGTCCCTAAAAGCAGCTGCGCGCAGCCCAAGACAGGAGACTGTCCCTCAGCGCTGCCAGAGTCCCGGTCCTGGAGGAACCAAAAGCGCAGCCCCAGGGGCAGGCACCGGGCTAAGGGGCGCAGAGCTACGGAGAGGGCACCAAGGCTTCGCATGTTCTTGTATTCTGGGCTGGGGTTCAAGGTCCGGGTATGGGGAGAGGCTGAGGGAGGGATTTTGGGAGATGTTTGAGGATGGGAAGGGAAAAAGATGGGAGTAAGAACACCATGGGAAGAGGATGGGGTGGGGAGAGGCTGAGGACCGGGAAATGAAGAGCCAAATTATGGCTGCAGGCTCTGTGTCTTGCAACCTATTTTTAATTTTTAGACAAGGCCTCAAGAAGGCCACGTTGGCCTCGAACTCCAAACTTCTCTGCCTCCACGAACTGCTGGGCTGCGAGCTCGGCAATTCCTGGGCCTGGCGGGGCCGCGGGACCAGAATGCCGGGCTCTGCTACAGTACCGCGCGGATCCCTTTGTCTCGGGCGACTCCGCCGCGTCCCCGCGCGGAGGGGAACCCCTGCTCCCGCGGCACATGCGCACACCCGCCCGGCTTCCCCGGGCAGCCCCCGCGTTGTTGCCATGACGACCACGAGGGCAGGAACGTGGGGAAGACCCCGCTGGCAGCCCGCCCCCGCCGCCCTCGCCCGGAGCTCCAGTCTGGTTCGAGCCGGTTTTCCCGGACCGCGTGGGCTCTGGGGCGGTGGAGGATTCCCCTAGTCCCCAGTGACTCGCAATGGCTGGCGCATGCGCGCAGGGCATGTCCCCTCCCAACACATACACACACACACACACACACACACACACACACACGGAAAGCCCAGGTGAGAAGAGCAAATACTATGCGCGCATGCGCGTCGCGTGATACGGCGCGCTAGTTTCCTTGGCAACTACTCGGAACTTCCCTTTGTCACCCACTCCTGGAGCCGGGGATTTCCCCACTGCTAGTGCGCAGGCGCAGGCCGGGATTCCAGAAGATGAGGTTTTTCTACAGAACAAAGACTGTCGCTGTTTGGATCATTTTTATTTTGACACAATGTCTCTGTATTTGGCTCAGCCTGCTTAGAACTTATAGCAATGCTCCTGCCTCAGACTGGCGAGGGCCAACTCACATGGCTCCGGTATTTTGTGCGGGATCTCGCGCGCGAGCTCTCCGCTGCTCTGGAGTGGACCCCACGCCCTTGCCCCCTCTGCTGGTTTCTTCCGCTGTCACCAGGAGAGTCCTAACTGCGACGCCCTCCCTAGCGTTCCCAGTTCCACGGTGACTCCGAAAGCAGGGTGTGGCGGTGCATCAGGCCCCAGCCCCAGCAGTAGGGACGTGGAGGGAGAATCCGTTTAAGGTCAACCTTGGTGAATCAGACCTTGTCTCAAACTACGACTTTAGTTTTAAACGTTTATGTGTATATTGTTTTGTCTGAATACACATATGTCTGAATGTACATCTGTATGTGAATTACGTGTGTATCTGGTGCCCTAGGAGAGCTCAGGTCGTCGGGTACCCTGACACTGGACTTACAGTTGTGAGCAGCCATGTAGGTGCTGGCATTGAACTCGGGTCCTCAGCAAGAGCAACACGTGCTCTTACCTACTGAGCCAACTTTCTAGCTTCCTGAATTTCTTTCTTTTTTCTCTCTTTCCTTTTTTAAGAGGTCTCCATAGCCCAGGTTGGCTTTGAACTCCCAGAAATCCTCCTGCTCAGGGTAACTTTTCGTAAGATCTTAGATGCAGCCAAGGTTAATGCAAACACCTTTTTATGAGGAGCTATCAGACCAATTTTGTAGTTGAGACACCGGAAGCCAAAAGCATGGTGGGCCCCTTTGCCTCGTGTTCATGTGCCAGTTGCTTTGTCGCTGCCACACCCCTTCATGGTCCCTTTCTATTGCCTCCCACAAGGATCACCCAGGCCTTTTCCAGAGATGCCACACACCCTCCAGCCCTGTTCTCGGGGTTGTCCATTGATGAACTGCCTTGCTTCGGCCTTGTCAGTCATTATTTGGTACTCCCTACCATAACCCATTTAGACTCGCGGCCCAAACTCCCACGAGTGCTGGGGTGGCAGGCGTGCACCCCCATGCCCAGTTCTGGAGCTGGAGCCCAGGGCCGCACACATGCAGCTAAGTGCTGCCTGCCACTCAGTCATGTCCCTGACCCATCTTGCTACACTAGGTTTTACACTGCTTTCTGACCCAGAGTATTTTTCAGCTATATCATTTATGAACTCCCTCTCCCTTTAAAAGTAGGCTAGGCCTTTGCATCAATGGGTCCTTCTCTCTTGATGGGATACAGAAAACCTCACTTCATGAGATTTACATTTGATCAGAACCAACCTCCTTCATCAAAGGGGGGTACCTTCGGGAACCTCCACCCTTCTTGGTACATGAAACTGATAGGTCTTGAGGTGACACAGTTGCTGTGTAGGGAGAATCCAAGAAAAACCTGGGCTGAGAAAAGACGAAGTGGCAGGTGACAACCTTGTCTATGTAGGGTGTTGTAGGACCTAATAAATTCCCCCACCTGTCCCTGTCCTTGTATCTTTATTTCCCCATGATGGGCCATCTTAATGTCCTAGGACCACTTCAGGAAGTGCTGCTGACAACTATGTCTGCCCAGTGCACCTATTATCCAACCATTTTCAGGGGGACATGGCCAACCTTCCACACACTGGATGCAGTTTGCACTGCCTACACAAGCTTGATGCAGCTAGAGAAAGCAGTTCTGATTTCAAATCCTATACTCTTCCCCCTCATGGCCAATCCCTGCACCTGTCAGGTTCAGCTGCCCTAGTGCCTGTCAGCTGGGAGGCATCTGCTGTGGGAAACCTGCCTCACACCTCAGGCTCCCGGTGGGTACAACCTGCAGCTCCTCCTGCTGCTGTGTGGCTTCAAGGCTTAGCCACCTCTCCAATCACCTGCTACTGTCCTGGGGGCTGGCAGATATGAAGCAGTGGTTCGGACATGGTCATCAGACAGCCCCTCCCTTCACCAGTGGTCCCCACCACACACGTGGACATGGGCCTCAGGCAGCCTCTCCACAACCTTTATTGGGCGGATGCTCAGCCAGGCTCCATAGGGAACATGGGCTGGGTGTCGCTCAGAGCAGGGACCCTCTGGATTATTGAGAGTGACAGATAATGCAGCCAGAAGAGCTCCAGGATCAGAACTATCTGGATGCCCAGGCAGGCCTGGCTGGAGGAGGACGCCTGGACTCACAGGAGCTGGAGCTGGACAAACTGTACTTGGACCTGGTTTCATCACTTGGGTGCATTAAAGGGCAATGCACGTTGGTTCATGGGGTTGTCGGGGGAGCGCAACCACTCCTTCTTCAGCAGCTGCTTCAGCTGCGACAGCCGCATGTTGGGGTTCTCCTGCTTCAGCCTTGGCAGCTGTACCTCCTCGAATGCGGTGAAGGCTGCGCGCATGCGACGCTCGGGGTGCCGGTCTGCATCCTCTGCCACACTATGAAGCCTGGAGTCAGCGCCCAGAGCCCAGGCCTAGGCCCCGCCCATGCCTGCACAGGCCCTGTCCCAACCATGCCTCCTGCCCCAGGCCCTGCCCACCTGAGCACTGCTATGGCATCCTCTACAGTGCGAGCCTCCACGCTGCCCTCTTCCTGCATGCGCCGGTTCAGGTTCTCCTCCAGCGGTAGCTCCAGGTGGCTCTTGGCCTTCTCCACTGCTGAGGACATGGACCGGATGTGAGCACGCAGCTGTGGGCCAAGTCCTTAGGGGTGCACCACCCTCAGCCCTGTGCGCACCTGGCTCCACTCGCTGCTCTCTGCGCAAGGAGTCCTCAATCTGCGCGCGGGTGACCTTGGCGGGTGCCACCCGAGGGGCTTTGCCGCCCTTAAGCCGTGAGTCCTCCTCCTCCAGCAGGCGCTGTGTCTCCTTCTTGCGTTCCAACTGTTCCAGGCGTCGCTTCTCCTTTTCCTCCTATGACAGCAACAGGGTCACCATGGAAGGCCTTGTCTGTCTAGATACCACCTGAGGCCCCAAAGATGGTACCCAAGCCGGTGGTTGATCCCTTCCTCTCAACCCCCCAGGGCACCCTTGTGCAGTTGGACCAGGAGAGCTAAAGTGTTTCACAAGGGTACTACTCCGTGAGCCTCCGCCCCAAATAGGAAAGCCCTTCTGGGTTCACAGTCAAAGGTATTTGAGGGCAGAAGGCCTGGGCTCAGCTGTATGCCCGTAGCTCCCACTCCCAAAGAAGGCACAGTTTCGTAAAGTTCAAAGAGCCCAGTACCAAGTGGTCATCATATTGAGTGAAACAACAAAAATCTGGTGATAGTGGTGTGAGCCTGGGGTACCCTGAGCTGCAGAGGAAACTAAGGCAGGAGGAGTGGCGGAGCACAGCATCCCAGGCCAGCCTGGGTCTTGGAGACTTGGTCCACAATCCCCAAAGGCTAAGGAAGCTGATACTGGGCATTTTTCCAACCCAGCTGAGTAGACCTGCTGAGGGGGCCTGGGTCTCTGTTGCCACCTAGTAGGCTGACCTGTCAGCACTGCCCTGAACCGGGTTGGCACCTGGGGTTCAAAGGTAAACTTCTGTCAGGTCCTCTTCAGCTAGCCGCTGCATCTGCATCCCTGCATGGCTACCTAGAGCTGGCCACAGGACGCCACCACCCACCTTGCGCTGCTCCTTTCGCATCACGTGTTTGTCCTCATCCTTCCAGTAAGCATCTTCCAGCTCCTTCTGTTTTTTGGCATCAGCTGCCGCCTTGGCTTCAGCCCTCCGTGCTCGGGCAGCTGCCGACTTGCTGTTCTCGCCCTGGAACTTCTTGGGCATCCCTCAGCAGACTGCAGGGAAGACACTGTTGAGGGGGGTTGGACCGCGGCCAGCACCCATCCCATGACTTACAACGGTTTTTTAAAGACAGGGTCTTGCTATGTAGCCTAGGTTGGCAGGACAACATAATCCTCTCTGATCCTTGATCTACATTCCCTCTCTGACTTTGTCCCTGGAGACACTTCCTGCTAACAGATTATACGCCATGTGGCCTCTCTGTCTGGCTGTTGTCCCTAAGCGTCGTTGTATTTTTAGTGTCCGAACCTCATTCACATTCCTTGTGGAGTGATATTTTACAGTAGCATATGCCGTATGGAGTGTATCTGATCTGCCCCTGGTGTCCATCCACTGCAGTGCAGCCCTGCAGACACCTCCCACTGCCATCTGGGAACCCCATTTTAGGCTTTGCCTATGGGAAGGTACTCGCTCAGATATCACAGCGGATCCCATCAGATGAAAGGGTACACAGCTGCCTTGGACAGGCACTGTACAATGACTGACTCAACCCTAAGGGCCCAGAACCTTAACCGTGGGGATGGTCAGTCACCCCCAAGGAAAATGCACAAGTTGAGGAGTCTGGCCTTGGGGGGAGCTATACTGCTGTGGTACCAGGAGCACCCCTCTTCCTGTCAGGCGGGGAGGGGTATACCTGTAACCCAAACACTTGGGGAGGCTGAGACATGGGGGTCAGCCATTTAAGGTCAGCTTGGCTACACAATGAGGCCATATCAAAAAGTAACCAGCACTGTATGGCCCAGGACCACCAGGACATTAACCACCTTCAAGCCTTCTCTCCTTATAAAGTGCCCCCTTTCTGACCCTATGCATCCATAGCCATGTCTTCTATCAGGAGAGGATCCCCTTCAGACAGCTGTGTGGCAGAAATGAGGCTTTATGTTTAGAGGTCTTTGGAGGTCCCAGTGGTGAGTGAATCGAGAGGATGGCAGGGCTTAGGACACACTCCTATCTGGCTCATGAAGCCCTGTTCAGCCGATGGGGTTAGTGAGGGCTAGGATAGCCACTGTGAGTACAGCTGGGTGTGAACTCTGTTTTTGAGAGCTGGCTACATGGCCAAAACCATTCCTTTGGTAGCAGTAGTGTGGGCCTGACCTACTGGCCAGAGATAGCCCGAGACGGGACAGACATGAGGACAAGTTCATGTAGGGCTCAGACCTGGCTCCTAAGCACTGTCCTACTTCAGACAGTCCATCAGACAGGGACAGAGCAGTGTGGTCCCCTCCATGGCTCTGTCCCTGTGGCCTAGGCACTCCTGTGTGCCTTCGTTCCCTCATCAGGGACACTGGATTCTGACAGACACATCCCGCCATGGGGCAGGCACCAGAGCGCCTGCATGCACAAGACACTCCAGCTGGACCCCAAACCCACTGAGCAGGCAGAAAACGGTGAGCAGTAAAGGCTCTCTGGGCTTGCAAGGAACATGTTCAGAAAGCAAGGCCACTCTCCCAGACACCGCGGGAACTTAGGCACCCAACTCCACCCTGTGGTATCATGGCAGTCCCCGAATCTTTTCTAGTGGTAGCCAACCCTGACTGTATTTGAGTCTTCAGACATCGTTCAGTCCTGTACCTCAGGAAATTTCCCTCCTCCTGCCTCAGCAGTGCTGGGTGACAGATATGCAGAACCATGCCAGGCTTACCCCTTCTAACCCAGTAAATGCCAGGGTGGGCGTGGTGGCCCATGTTGAGTTCCAGGCTAGCTTGGGCTATGCAGAACTGCCTCAAGCAGGTGTGGGCACATCGAAAATGCCAACCGGAATTTTCTCTATAAGACATTTGTTAGGGAAGCATTTTTCTCTTGACAGAGCCCAGTTATCTTGCCCTGGCTGGCCTGGAACACATAGTCCTCTTGGCTGAGTGACTACTGTGTATTTATCATTTAAATCATCGTTCCCTGCAGGTTGGGAGCATAAAGAAGGCCGTATGCAAAGGGTCCTCACCCGGAACCAGATCAAGTGCGCACCACCACCTCGGCTTCCGGACCTACAAAAACAACCACCAGAAAAGACGTTTCCAGGCCGAGCATCGCGGGCGAACGCCTGGGATCCCACCACTTGGTAAAGCTGAGGCAGGAGGACTAAGCTCGAGGTAGCCTAGACTACAAAATGAGTCCAGGGGTCCAAATGATCCCACTTAAAAAGTGCCCGCGTCGTTCCCGGTGACTGCCAGGCCGCGCGGCAGGTAAAAAGGTCGCGAAAAATGCCTCCTCCTCCAGGAAGCCCTCCAGGCTCCCCGCGATCTGCCACGCCTGAGCGCCAGGAGCGTCCACCACTGGGCACCCCATCTCCGGATCTGCCTTCCTGGCGGGAGGACCCCAAGGCCGAACCGCGCCCGCCCAGCCAGCCCCGCAGTCCGGCTCCGCCCGCGCCGCAGCCTCTCCTACCTCTTCCCCCGGCACCAGCCCGGTCGCGTGTCAGTGACGTCGCCGCGCCTGCGCACTCACCTACCGGTGGCGCTCTGCTCGTGACGTTCTCCGGTGCCGCCATGTTGGTAGGGGTATACTGACAAGCTAGCTTTCCACTAAGCCAAAATTCTCAACCGATGTTGCCAGCTTTCTTCTATTTCAAAGAAAACTATGTCTCAGATATCATGTCATAGTTTTGTTTTGGGTATTGATGGATAAAAACGGAAGATAAAGCTACCCACCCTTAACAATGACCCTACCAAGCTGGCCGCTGCCCGGAGTAAAGATGGCGCCGCTGGCGTCACATTGGATCTTTCGTTGCCAGACCGCCAGGGGGCGTCTGTGACCCACGCGGGCATGAGGCCTGGCCTTTCCTGGGCACTTAGCCGATCAAATGGCTACCCCAGCTCAGAGTAAAAGGGAGAACAGCATTCTTTGCCCCGCCCTGGTGGGGAAACCGAGGACCAAAGGGAGTAGAAATTGAATTAGACTAAAGTGCAACCGACGTAGCAAGGCATGATTTCCCAGCACAAAGGAGCCTAAAGCAGGACAGCAAGCTAAACAGTGACACTGTCTCAAAACTAAATGAAAATAAATTAATACTACTAGGTTTCCTGTGTTGCACTCATCAGCCTCTCCCTTATTGTGAAGTCAACTATAAATGTTTATTCTTTTTTCTTTCTTTTTTTTTTTTTCTTCGAAACAGGGTTTCACTGTGTTGCTCTGTAGAACAGGCTGGCCTGGAATTCACAGAGATCCTCCTGCCTCTGCCTCCCCAGTACTGGGATTAAAGGCGTGTGTCACCACCGCCCGGCTATTTATTCTTTCTTTATTCATCCACTCCACCTAATTTTTCTTTTTTGACACCTGTATTGCTTCATCAGTAATTAAGTGTATCTTAGTATGTCATACTTCAAGTGCGTACATCCCAGTCAGACTTACTGCCACTTCAGATCGTCCTTGGAGTCTCTGTGTGTCAAGATGGTAGTTTCAGAGGGGTTCAGTTTCATGCCCCGAGGAGGGAAGCGTGCGGCTTTCAGTTAGGTTCCACAGGATAAGTTGAGTCATTTTCCCAATGGCATCTTCCTCACGCTGCTTGGGACCTGAATCACTCCAGGAACCTCCCTGCTCTTGCACCTGCCATGGCTCCCGGTTGCCCTGCAGATCTTCCTCTACCGCCTCGCCTCAGAGCGCCAGCCTTCATCGTTTACTGTCCAGTCCCAACCCCTCCAGTCTCGCCTGGTCCTGCCTGATTCTGCTTCCCCTATGACGAACTGGAAACCGAGGGCCTGCGGACATTGGGGTGTTGTTTGGCATCCGGAAAGTGGGGAGACACAAGGAGAGGGAGAAGCTGAGACATCCTCCCCACGCCATACCATAGGCGGGATCCATCTCTACACTCACTGTGGGGGGTGGGGAGGCTGGGGCACAACCCCCCACTGTCCCCGAAGAGCAACTCTTCCAGGGAATTTGACTCAGGTGAAGGCCGGATGCTGCCTATCTGGAAGGAAAAGGGATTCGGGGAATTTGCATCTGGTATGAGGTGCAGAGTGACTAAGAGAGGTTCCCGAGGCGAGGCTAACCGGGATGCGGGCGTGGACTTCAGGGAAGAACCGCTCTCCAGTAAAAGATTTTTTAAGTTTTTAAAGTTCCATTTTCCTTGAGGTGTGCACGCGCTCGCGCGCCGCCTCCTGGCCTGGGTGCAGATGTGGGGGGGGGGCGGTCGGAGGACACCTAGCCGGTCCCCTCACCTCGGGGAGAGGCAGAATGTGTCAAAGGAGGGGCCAGGCGCAGCCTGGGCTATGCTCGCCCTATACATGGAAAATGACTAGGACATTTCAGGTTTCTACCTGGGGAGAGAGGGGCCTTGAGCACTAGAAACTAACTGTAGGGGTCCCTGCTCAGCCAGGTCCCTGGGTGATGGTTCCCTCCCATATCAGGGTCCCATGGTTTGTGCCCCATCCTTCCTCCAGTATGGGGCGCAGAGATCAGATGGTACTTTCCAGGGAGATGCTGACCTCAGGTTCCTATTTTAGGTGTTTGAGGAGATCAGACAGAGTAGACCAGACTGGCCTGGAACTCATAGAAATCCACCTGCCTCTGACCGCCACCACACCTGGTCTTGTTTGTTTGTTTATGGAGACAGAGTACTATGTGGCCCAGGCTAGACTAGAACTCACTATGTAGCCATGGATAACACAGAACCTGCCTCCTGTCAGCTGGGATGGTAGGCAAGCCCCTATGAAAGGAACACATCCGGTTGGTGCAGTTCCAGGTGTCTGACACCATAAGAGGCTTTAAAAACAAAACAGAGTGGAAAAGATGGCTCAGTGGGGAAAGGTACTGCACCCCAACATCCAGAGCTTATCCCCGATCCATGTGGGGGAAGTTGAGAAGGACCGGAAGGAAAGAGACACAGTTGTCAACATGTAACTAAAGTTGGCTTTCCCAGGTACTTCAGAGCTACAAGATCACCATCTGCAGTGATGGGATGAACCCCAGACAAGGACCACCTCCTTCTGGGCCAGGTCCTGCAGGGCCTCTGTTGCCGTGAAGACAACCACATTGTATGCTATTCAAAGGAAATTAGCCAAAGAATACCAGGTGTGGTAGCACAAATGCACTAGGAAGGCTGGAGTGGGAGGATTATCATGAGTCTGAGACCAGCCTGAGCTATATAGTAAGACATATTTCAAAAAAGTGGGTTCTGGGGCTCAGTGGGTAGAGTGTTTTCATGGACAAAACTTGAGTCCATATACTGGATACATGGTCACACCATCTGTCACCCCAGGACATAGGAGTCTGAGGAAGGAGGATCAGAAGTTCAAAGCTTGCCTTGAATTTGAGGCCAGAGGGGGCTACAGGAGACCCTGACCCCCCAAAAAAAAACAAAGAAAGAAAAAAAGCAGTGATGGCTCACGCATTTAACCCCAGCACTTGAGAGGCAGAGAGAGGCAGGTGAGTTTGAGGCCAGTCAGGGCTATAGAGAGAAAGAAGAAAAGGACTATAAAAAGTGCTGTTTCTGCTTCAAGTGACAGAAAGGCCGCTGTCCTTCAGTGAATGACAACATCACTTGGTACGTCTGGGGAAATGCAAACGTTTGTCCTGATAAAGTCATTGCCTGTGTTTGCTATTAAACTTCTTAATTTTATCTAAATGGTAAAGTTCATGTATGACATTGCTTTGATATGATGATAAATTTATAGTTTGTTTGAAGACAGAAACTCAAGCAACTGGGGTGACCTCCTTTGGTTGATGTTGAGACAGGTTCTCTCTGTGTAGAGTAGGCTGATCTCAAGCTAAGAGATTCTCCAGCCTCAGTCTCCTGCGGGGTGAGGATTGAAGGCACATTGCACCCTAATTATGGTGGGGCTGGAACCCAGCGATAGGCAAGCACTCAACACACTGTGCTACCACATTCTTCCTGCTGTCATGCCACCACAGCACTACCATGTTGTTGTTATTATTATTATCATTATTATTATTACTTTGGTTTTTTGAGACAGGGTCTTTCGCTGGCTTTGGAGGCTGTCCTGGAACTAGCTCTTGTAGACCAGGCTGGTTTTGAACTCACAGAGATCCGACTGCCTCTGCTGCTAGTATTAAAGGCATGCACCACCACTGCCCAGCTTCACTACCATGTTTTATAAAGTCAGTTTTGATGTAAAGGTTAGGCTGTCCCCAAACCCTGAAAAGCTGCCCCTGTAGGAGGTGACAGAAGTGGGTTCATACCCAGCTCAAAATTAGTCATGCATTTTTAGTTAAATACAGACTGATCAGGCAGCCAGCAGGCTCAAGTTCCCTCCCACAGTCTGGTGTGGCATGTAGATATCGCTAAACACCAAACACCGAGTCCCCTTGTCATAGCACAGCTTTAAACAGCAATTAACAGTGGGAATCATTGCATGTGGTTTCCCTTCCCTAGATCACAGCAATCCTGGCAACAGACATGAATCAGTATACTTCAGTGGTACCACACTGGCCAAACATGATGACAGCCTAGATTGGGACCACAGCACCTCAAAAACTAGGAGGAGGAAGAGAAGGAGGGGAGAAGGAGCCACCTTCTCTGACAAGCACCTTGGAAAACACCTTGAAGAATCTATATGCTCCTCCCAAAAGGTACATTTTTCACACACTTGCGAAATTCATCTGCTCAAAATCAGGTCTTAATCTTCTGCACATGAAACACACTGAGGTCATGATGCCTGGGTCAGCAAGCCAGAACAAACTGGGTTATCTTCGCACAGTCAGCAGGATCCAGAGGCCCAGGTTGCAGTGAGGAGAGGTGGGGTGCAGGTGGGGCTCCACTTAGGATCCCCCTCAGGGGCTGGATCTGTACCTAGGTTCGTCCCAAGTAAGGGACATTGAAGAAAAACAGGAGAGGATGGAGTCGGTTCCACTAAAATGAATCCCAAGATCCAAACAAGGCCCTGGTAAAGGCAGAGAGAGACCCTGGGCAGCTTGATCACTGCACCAGAGGCCTCCTCACAATCCCTTTTCTTTCTTTTTTTCATCGGAATTCATGTAATTGTTGTGGTTTGCTGTTTTTCATTTTAAAGACAGTGTCTCTCATTGCAGCCTAGGCTGGCCTGAAACTCATGGCAATCCTTCTGCCTCAACTTCTTTAATGCTGAGATGACTGTGTACACAAAACCTGGCCTTAATTTTATTTTGTTCCTATAGGTTTCTTATTTTTGAGACAGTGTTTTTCTGTGTAGTCCTGGCTGTAGACCAAGCTGGTTTCAAACTCACAGAGATCCACCTGCCTCTGCCTCCCAAGTGCTGGGATCAAAGGCATGTGCCACCACCCAGCTGTTATTGTTTTCTATTGTGTTTCTAAGTTATTGGTTTGTTCATTCTCTGTGTGTGAAGCCCAGAAGTTGGCACTGGGCTACTTTCTCCCCCCTCTGCCTCCTCCTTTTGAGGCAGGCTCTCTCACTGAACCTGGAGGTCACCAATTTACCTAGACTGGCCAGCCAGCAAGTCCCAGAAGGACTTCTTGCCTCTCTCTATGTCCCCATGCTGGGATGATAGTGGCATACCTGGCATATTT